GAGACAAGCCTTGGCTCCTCCAAAACATTAGCGCAAAAGGCAATCAAGTGGCCCGAGTTAGTCCAGGGACCAGTGCCAGCCCTGCAAAGAGAAAGAAGAAGATGGCCCCCACAAGACGCTCTCCAAGACTACACCAGGAGGACAGCAAAAAAGAAGCCGAACAAAAGGCTCAGGAGACAGATAAGAACGAGTGGGGATCCAGTGCCACCCAGGCATTCGGGTTCTCCGCTCCTCAGCCCCTGAGCAGTGCCAGGGAGGTCCAGTGTCCAAGTGCAGCCAGTGGTTCAAGTGGGGAGGACACTTCTGGTAATTTCACGTTTGTGCCCACGGCTACTGCCGGAACCGATGGCACGGAGGATCTGTCCCCCAAACCCCCAAATGAACCGTCACAAGGTTCAGTGATATCTTTATACAACATGTGCTATTCTCCTCTTATATCTGGCCTTTTAGACGTGGCTCCATCCCAGGACTCTGACCAGTCCGAGGAGGACCACGAGGGCTCCTTGGATAACAAGTGTTCACTCAAACACAACGCCGGCCCATAGTATCACAGGCTTTGTAACCATGAATCCACTTCAGCTTTAGTAAAGGCAAAGGTCCATTTTGTTAATTCCACAAAATAAACAATCCAATGAGAATTGTGAGTCCATGTTCTTCTGTTTCTGTGCCACATACCTCATTAGATGAGCATGAGGAGGCTAGAAATCCTGGCCCCAGAAAGACGTGCATCCCGGTCGTCCTCTTTCAAGTTCACCCACTCAGCCAAGGAGCTGGCTTGGGCATCCTGGGGCAAGCCCAGGGAGACCTGGTACCCTGAGCCTTGCCTACTGAACAGGAGACAGAACCTTACATTAGTCATGCATCCTGAAACAGGAGGGTCTTTGCTCACAGGTCCCCCTATGATGCCAGGAAGATTCTGATCAGCATCTGAATGTGTCTAGCCCAAGTTCCAGGCACCCTGCAGAGAGGCCCACCTAGAACCTGGGCCACCCCATCTGCTAAGTGGTGTAGGTACCCCAGAGCCAGTCTGGCCATTCCAGATAACACCCAGGAGAAAGCCCATCATCCTCACAGCTAACAGCCATTAGTAACCCTGCTAGATAGGACACAAATAAATTAAAGAGTGCCCACACGGAAAACAAAAAACTCTACCCATCACTTTTCCATCAGAGCTGTATTTCAGATCTGTCCTTGGGTCCCGAGGTAGCTATGTGACATGTGTAACACAAGCCCTCGTGAGCCAAGGGACACTTACAGCCGACCAGTCACTTGCCAGGAGAGACAGGTGCTTTCTTTCAAAGTCTGATGTCCCTTCCACCGTGAATGAAGCCATGCCTTGGATGGTCACCATCTGGCAATCATTCAGTGCCCGCTCCCAGAACTCCCACAAGGATCCCTGGGTGCTGCTGAAGTGTTCTGTGAGTTTGACCACAACAAAGAGATGGGAGTCCCAAACAATAATCAGTTCTGCTAAAACAGTTTTGTTTTTCCTCTATAAAAGCCAAGAATGAGCAGGACCAAAAAGAGTGACAGCACCAAGATATGTCCTGGCAGCTTCCCCATTTCCCTAAAGCCAGACAGAGTGCTTGAGACAGGCAATGAGCCCAGAGAGGCATCTCACGAGGACAGTCGCCTACATCTGGGCACAGAAATCTGTTTACCTGAACAGCACATGGTGGGTAGTGCTCTCCATGGCAGCGCCAATTCAGTTCCACATCTGTGGCATGATGGCCCTTTGATGGTGATGATTCATCTGGATTCTCAGTAACCTTCCTGTGGAGTCCTCCTGTCCCTAGGAGATCAGGTGCTGTGGGATGCCTACGTGGAAGATAGCCTTTCCCCTTTCCTGGGTATGAGCTTCAGTAACCACATGGGGTTTGAAAGTGCAGTCGGGTACTTCTGCTTCAGGTTGGTCAGGACAGCCTTTTTCCCCGGTTCCACATCTTCCTCAGGAGCCACGTTTTTGGGGCACTGCAGAGTTGCCCCAACGTCAGGGAGCCCCGTGCACCATGAGAGAAGCACTGAGATGTTTTTCCTTCCATCAACCACAGGAAAGGTTTCTTTAAAGTTATGCCCTCCAGAGCAAAGCTGATTTCACCAAAGGGACACCGAGCGAGCTGGGTCCCTAAAGAACTTCCCATGTGTCAAACACTGTTCAGGGAATTCTGGGTGGGGCCAGGGGAGAGAGGGAAAAGAAGAGGACAGAGCCTGGTCCAAGAAAAGGCAGGTCCCAGCCTGACTGCTGTGGGCAGCACACACAGGTCAGAGGAGCCCTGACTGCTGTGGGGAACCCACCAGCATTTAGGTCCCAAGCCCTTCACCAGGTGAAAGGAGCTGGTGTGGGACCTCAAACACTGAGGGGTGAGCGAAAGGGCCCATGATGCCATGGGCGCTGGAGGTGGGGCAGCTTTGTGAGGTCAGGCAGACAGCCTGAGCCTGGAAGCCACCCGACATTCTCTCTGTGCTGTGCAGCCTCCCCTGGTCTTTCCCACATAAACACACACGTGTGTGTGTGTGTGTGTGTGTGTGTGTGTGTGTGTGTGTGTGTGTACATGCATACACGCACATATGTGAGCACTGACAACAGCACATGAAGACTTGGACCTTTCTCTGCCCCGCAGGTCACCAATTGGACTGAAAACCAGTGTGGACAGAAGGTTTGACCCAGGTCATAGAAACTCTGCCCACAGAACCCCAGCCTGGGCCCCTTGCTGCCCCTTTGAAACTGTGCTGCCTACAGAAACCACAGCCTCATCACCACAGGTTTAAAGAAAACAACCCCAGACTCCTGAGCAAGGTCCTGGGGGCACTCTTGGAAGGGTGTGAGTTGCACTCAGGGTGTCACATCTTGCCTAAGATCACTCCTCAGGCATACTTCTCCCTTCCCAGAGCAGGGCCTGAACCTGCCTGGGGTTCAACTCCAGCCTCTCCAGCAGCAGCTCCCACCTGAGGACATACTTCCAGTCCCTGTGAGCAATGTGGGTGGCGATGGTACAGTTGCGCTGGCTGCTCACTAGGGTTGCCAGTAAGTCTCCAGAGTGTTCACCGCATATAAGACCAAGCCTGCATAAGGCTGCGGGAAGGAGAAGCAGGAGAACTCCATCTCCCTAGAGATCCGTGGGCCTCATGTGGCCCGGGGAAACCACAAGTGGGACTGTCCATAAGCATCATGAATCATCCCTCCATGTTCATAGTCTGTGGGCTGACCTCTCCCCAATGTCCCCTGGGGCCCTGGAACCCCACTGACAGGGGTGGTGGGAGAGCAGAGTGTTGGCTCCTTCTTCCTATCCCCAAGCAATCAGCGGCCAGGCCCTATGGAAAGGGGTGAAAATGCAGATGCCTCATCCACCAGATGGAGTCTTTGGGCGGCTCAAGGAAGAAGGTGAAGACAGGTAAAGATAGGCACTCAGCACAGGATGTGGTCAGTTCCACAAAGGAGGTCACTGAGGCCAGGGGAGAAAGCGCCCTTTTGGCTTCACACCTGCTGAGTGGGTTCTAGTCCTCTCCCAGCTCAGACCCTCCTGGGCTTTGCTTCTTCTCTTCATCCCACCCCCGCCCACCCCAGCACAGTCAGCTACCTCCTCTTTTCACCCCAAAGGCTCTGCAGGATCCCAAGCACCCTGGTCCCTCTTCCCGGGCCGCTGGTTGCAAATACTTGGGATGCAACCTCAGCTAGGCCCTGGGACACCACGTTTTCAGCTCAGATCCTGTCAAGTGTTTCCCTCTGGCCCCTTTGGGAGACACCCTCCTCCATCCCCTGGCTGCACCACTGCCATCTGCTGTCAGCAGGCACTCTGGCACTAAGGCCCCACTGCAGCCTAGAGGAAGGAATAACAGGAGCAGGAAGAATTGGCACTGGAACACACACACCATGCCCATTTCAGGCCAGGAGATGGGCATGATCCACAAATCCTAGAACTCAATCCTCAAATAACGGTGGTGGGGAAGGTGGCACAGAGGGAAGAATAGATGGCCCTGGATCATGTGGGCCCTTACCACATCACCCACTGTCCTTGCCTTTTCCCTGGGGAAGGGGGTCCTGGTACCTGATGGAGCTTGGATTCCAAGGGGCTGAGGGCCTGGCCTGTAATGTAATAGGACAGTCATAACCGGTGGCTCCCCCATCAACATCATAGGGCCTGAGCCTCAGTACCACACTCCACATGAGCAACCCCCCACTCCGGATGACTCTCCCCTCCTGTCTTAAAGGACATGAACCTCACTTCAGCTATTATGTCCTCCTGTGTGTGGAAACATGCCCATCCTCAAAGACAAGACCTGGGGGACAAAAGCTGCCTGTGTTCACTCCCTCGCCAAACAGTGTCCTTCCAGTCCTGGCTCCAGGCTCCTCTGCTCTGCCTCCCCTCCCTTTCTCTGGCTGGGTTGCCTTTCCCTGTGAGGACAGAGGCTCAGTGAATGTTTAGGGTGCACATGAACCAGTGAGAAGTGTCTTTTACTGTTTATTTTTCTACATTCTTGAATAAGCTAAGAAAATCCAAGTATATATATTTTGTTTTTACAGAATGACAGACTAAATATGATACAGGCTAAATATGATAAATATGATAACTATTTTATCTGTTTTTGCATCTATGCTCTTACACACACACACACACACACACACACACACACACACACAAAACCTATTCCAAGTCCACATTATCTGGTTACAGAGTACAAATACAATGAAGGATTCCCATTTTTTTCTTTCTTTCTTTTTTTTTTCTTTTTTACCAAATAGCAAAGTTCTTTGTCTTAAGTTAAATTACAATCAACGTGTGAACCATGTCATTTGTAAACTTAGATTCTGAAGCTAAAAAACATTCTACTTAAAGTAACATTATAAAATACCAAAAATAAAAGAAGATACATTTCTAAGTCAACCCAATGGAACAGAGACACACAGATGTTATTCGCTATAATCCCCTAGCCTAGCCCTCCACCGCTTGGATCATTGACTTCCCTCTTAAAACACAAAGGAAATCTATCTGTCTTGGACTTCACTGAGTGCAGAAGAAGCGACTGGACTTGGCAGAAGAGCCTGCACTGGCCATGGCACTAGGATCATCTGTGGTGCTAATTCTGGCCCGGGCTCTCTGCTCCTCCTCTCTCAAAGCCTCCTCATACCAGTGTGGGAAGGATCTTGGGTCACTCCCGTTGATCTGGGCCAGAAACTCCAGGACTTTGAACTTGGTGGTCTCAGCGTTGGCCCTGGGACCCAACATGGAGGTCACGTCAGCATCTTCTTGGTCTCTTCTAGGATCAGTGACTGATTGTAAGGGAAATAATTTGTGGAAATGGGGCCAAAGAGCCGCATGTGGCTCGCGAGCCTCAGTTTGCCGACCACGGTCCTAGGGCAATGGAACCTAAAGAGAAAATAAACAAATGGGACTACGTAAAAATAAAAAGCTTTTTCACAGCAAAGGAAACCATCTACAAAACAACAAGTATGGGAGAACATATTTGCCAATGCTATCACTGATAAGGGTTTGCTATCCCACATTTACAGGGAACTCCTACAACTTAACAAAAGGAAGATAAACAACCCCATCAAAAAAGGGGCAACGGACTTAAATAGATGCTTTCCGAAAGAAGACCGAGACATGTGAAAACATGCTCAGAGTCACTGATTATCACTGATTATCCAAGAGATGCAAATCAAAACAACAATGCGGTATCATCTCACACCTGTCAGAATGGCTATCATCAGCAAATCAACAAAGGACGAGTGTTGGCTAGATTGAGGAGAAAAAGGAATGCAGTCAGGTGCAGCCACTGTGGATAACAGTATGGAGTTTCCTCAAAAACGTAAAATGGAACTCCCATTTGACCCTGTGATCCCACTTCTGGGAATATAGCCCAAGAAGCCAGAAACACCAATCAGAAAGAAAGGATATATGCACTCCATATGTTCATAGCAGCACAATTCACCATCACTAAGGTTTGGAAATAGCTCAAGTGCCCATCAGCAGATGAGTGGATTAAAAAACTGTGGTATATCTATACAATGGAATGATATGCTGCAGTAAAACAAGAAGGACTTCTTACCATTTGCAACAGCTTGGATGGAACTGGAGAGCATTATGCTAAGTGAAATAAGCCAGTCAGAGAGAGATAAATATCACATGATCTCACTCACTTATGGGATACAATGAATAACATAAACTGATGAACAGGGACAGATCCAGAGACCGAGACGCATCAATCAGACTGTCAAACCTCAGAAGGAAGGTGGGTTGATGTCTCCTTAAGTGGGAGAGATCAACCAAAGGACTTGTCTGCATGCATATAAGCCTAACCAATGGACACAGACAATAGGGGTGTGAGGGCATGAGTAGGAGGGGAGGTTGGGGGGTAATGGGGAGATGAGGACACATATGTAATACCTTAATCAATAAACAAATTTTAAAAATAAAAACCAACACTGAAAAAAGAGATAGAGGAAGATGTCAGGAGATGGAAGAACATACCATGTTCATGGATTGGTAGAATCAACATCATCAAAATGTCCATACTTCCTAAAGCAATCTATAAGTTCAATGCACTCCCCATTAAAATACCAACGACATATTTCACTGACCTAGAAAGAACTCTCCAAAAGTTCATTTGGAACAATAAAAGACCTCGAATAGCCACAGCAATCCTGAGAAAGAAGAGTAAAATAGGAGGGATCTCAATACCAGACTTCAAACTATATTACAAAGCCACTGTTCTCAAAACAGCCTGGTACTGGCACAAAAACAGACATATAGATCAATGGAATCGAATCGAGAACCCAGATATCAACCCAAATCACTATGCTCAATTAATATTTGACAAAGGAGGCACGAATATACAATGGAGTCAAGACAGTCTCTTCAATAAATGGTGTTGGGAAAATTGGACAGACACATGCAAAAGAATGAAACTAGATCACCAACTTACACCATTCACAAAAATAAACTCAAAATGGATACAGGACATAAACATCAGACGGGAAACCATAAAAATACTAGAAACATCCACAGGCAGCAAAATCTCCGACGTATGCCAAAAGAACTTCTTCACTGATACTGCCCCTAGGGCAATGGAAGCTAAAGAGAAAATAAACAAATGGGACTACATCAAAATAAAAAGCTTTTTTACAGCAAAAGAAACCATCAACAAAACAACAAGAAAGCCCACAGTGTGGGAGAACATATTTGCAAATAATACCACTGATAAAGGTTCAATCTCCAACATCTACAGACAGCTTATACAAATAAATAAAAGGAAGATGAATGATCCAATTAAAAAATGGGCAATGGACCTAAATAGAATATTTTCAAAAGAAGACAGAAGGAAGGCCAAAAGGCACATGAAAACATGCTCAAAGTCACTAATTGTCCGAGAGGTGCAAATCAAAACAACAATGCGGTACCATCTCACACCTGTCAGAATGGCCAACATCAACAAATCAACAAACAACAAGTGTTGGCGAGGTTGTGGAGAAAAAGGAACCCTCGTGCACTGCTGGTGAGAATGCAGACTGGTGCAACCACTGTGGAGAACAGTGTGGAGTTTCCTCAAAAAACTGAAAATGAACTCCCATTTGACCCAGTAATCCCACTTCTAGGAATATACCCCAAGAAACTAGAAACACCAATCAGAAAGGATATTTGCACCCCTATGTTCATAGCAGCACAATCTACAATAGTCAGAATTTGGAAACAGCCTAGGTGCCCGTCAGCAGATGATTGGATCCAAAAACTTTGGTACATCTACACAATGGAATACTATGCTGCCATAAAAAAGAAGGAATTCTCATCATTTGCAGCAACCTGGATGGAATTGGAGAACATCATGCTGAGTGAAATAAGCCAATCAATGAAAGAGAAATACCACATGACCTCACTCATTGGTGGACGATAAAGCTCTTTATAAACTGATGAACCAAGAGACAGAGATAGAGAAAGTAAAGCAACAGGCAGACTGTCAAATTACAGTGGGGAGGGGAGGAAGATCTGGGGGAGATAATAGATCAACTGAAGGACTTGTATACATGCATATAAGTACAACCAATGGACATAAAACTCTGGGGAGGGAGGGGATGTGTGGGAGGGAGGGAGGGGGGTAAAAAAAATCAATAAAATATGTTAAAAAAATCAATAAAATATGAAAAAAATAAAAATAAAAATAAAAAAAACAAAAACAAAACAATGAAACTAGACCACCAACTTGTAACATACACAAAAATAAACTCAAAATGGATTAAAGGCTTAAGTGTAAGTTGTGAAACCATAAAAATCCTAGAAGAAACCATAGATAGCAAAATCTCAGACATCCCTCTTAGCAATATGTTGGCCAATGCATTCCCTAGGGCAGGGGTCGGCAACCTGCGGCTCCGGAGCTGCATGCGGCTCTTTTGAAGCTATGCTGTGGCTCCCAGCCGGCCGATAGCAAGGCGGGGGGGGCGGTGAGGAGGGAGGGCAGGGAGCTGTATCATTTACTTCCCGCCTCCAGCACTCCCGGCGCTCTGTGTGGCAGGTTGCTGGCGACTTAGCCTCGCTAGGCAACCACAGCGTCCCTGTCCTGGGCCAGCCTCTTCCCTCACATCACAGCCTGTGCACCTCTGAGCTGGGTTGGAGGAGACTGCTGCGAGGGGAAAGAGAGGTGCTGACAGAGGGGACACTGAAAAATAATAATAATAAAAAAGCAATAAAGAGAAAAAAGGGAGAAGGAAAAATAAGAGGACAGAGAGGACTGGAGAAAGAGAAAGAGAGGGCTTGCAGTGTGACTGTCACTGGGAGTCGGGCCTGTACAGTGAGTGGAAAGCATATATTCTGATCTCCTGCTCCACAACAAGGTCCGGTGGCTGTCCAGAGGCGAGGTGCTAAAACTCTTTGTCGCATGTTGGGAAGAAGTAAAAACTTTCCTGGCCAGCAAAGAGCTCACCTTTCCTGAGCTGGAACAACCAGAGTGGTTGGAAAAATTACATTTTATGGTAGACATGACAGCACATCTAAACACACTAAATACAACCCTTCAGGGGAAAGGAGGCACAGCCCTGCACATGCTGGAGGAGGTTTTGGCATTCGAGCGCAAGTTGACAGTGTTTGTCAAAGATTTACAGAGAGGTACACTGTCTCACTTTCCCTCTTTGAGAGAGTTCAAACAAAGTCATGATACAATAAATTTGGAATATTTGAAGTCTGCAATCACCACAATGCAAAGTTCGTTTGGGAAACGATTCTGTGAGTTCAGAGAGGAAAAAAACACATTATCCTTCCCTGTCACCCCCCTGGCGATCGATCCATCCCTATTGAATATAACTGCATTTGCAGGTGTAAGTCTACCTGATCTTGAGATGGAACTGTCCGATCGATATAGCCACAAAGATATATGGGTGTCCAAGTTCAAATGCTTGGTCGCTACTCTTGAGGATGTTGCCCGTCAGAAGGCCATTCTGGCTCAGAATCATAAATGGAGTGATATTGAAAACCTTCCCAAACAGGACAAACTTTTATTCGAAACATGGAATGCCATCTCCAACACTTATATAAACATGAAAAAGTATGCATTTGGAGTCTTGTCGATCTTTGGCTCCACATCTCCAACATGAACTGTATTAAAAACAAACATCGATTACGCCTCACAGATGACAACTTGCAAGCCTGTGTGAAAATGAAGGTAACGTCTTACAGCCCTGATGTGCTGACACTGTGAACTGAGGTTCAGGAGCAAAAATCCCATTAACCAGGTAAATTAAATATTTTAATTAGCTATTAATTTGCAAAAATATATTTTACATTGTTAAGTGAAAAAGTCCCTTTTTTCTTCAGACTGACAGCTAACTGCACGATCCGGTATATGGCATTAAGGTAAGAAACAATATATGCAGTGTTATATTTGTTTTAAATGTCGCAATGGTTTTGCGGCTCCCAGGTTTTTTTTTTTTCCTTCGAAAACAGGTCCAAGTGGCTCTTTATGTCTTAAAGGTTGCCGACCCCTGCCCTAAGGTAAGGGAAACAAAAGAGAAAAATAAACCAATGGGACTACATCAAAATGCAAAGCTTGTGCACAGCAAAAGACATCAACAAAATGAAAAGGGAGCTCTCTGTATGGGACAACATATTTGCCAATGATACATCTGATAAAGGGTTAATAACCAAAAATATATAAGGAACTCATACAATGTAACAAAAGGAAGACAATCCAATTTTAAAATTGGCAAAGGACTAAATAGACACTTCTGCAAAGTGGACAT